CCCAGCCCCTCCTCACGACCGTGGACTCTTCCATGGTGTCTCCGGGCTCCTGCACCATCCTGTGTGTCTCTCTGATGAAAGCGGAGGTGACAGCATAAAGATGATGGGGGAACTGCCCCGCATGCCCAGGAAAGCTCGTCCAGCTACGCAAAATGGTCTGACTGACGTCGGGTTTCTGCGCACCAAGCTGGACTCTGACCAAGGGTTACAGCCAAGGCGTCCTCGGGCATGGGCGTTTCCGCTGCTGTAGGAGCAGCCCCGCTGGCAGGAGGCGGCGGTAGCAGTGGTCACTGAAACAAGGTCCTGCTGATAAATCTAAGACACCAGGATTGGTGCTGCAGCCGCTGCCGCCGATTCCGGATCTCATTGCCGCGTGTCCCGGACAACCGCCTGACGTGCATTCCCGATTCCTTTTGGTTCCAAGTCCAATATGGCAACTCTCAAGGATCAGCTGATTCATAATCTTCTAAAGGAAGAACAGACTCCCCAGAATAAGATTACAGTTGTTGGGGTTGGTGCTGTTGGCATGGCCTGTGCCATCAGTATCTTAATGAAGGACTTGGCAGATGAACTTGCTCTTGTTGATGTCATCGAAGACAAATTGAAGGGAGAGATGATGGATCTCCAACATGGCAGCCTTTTCCTTAGAACACCAAAGATTGTCTCTGGGAAAGACTATAGTGTAACTGCAAACTCCAAGCTGGTCATTATCACGGCTGGGGCACGTCAACAAGAGGGAGAAAGCCGTCTTAATTTGGTCCAGCCTAACGTGAACATCTTCAAATTCATCGTTCCTAATGTTGTAAAATACAGCCCGAACTGCAAGTTGCTTATTGTTTCAAATCCAGTGGATATCTTGACCTATGTGGCTTGGAAGATAACTGGTTTTCCCAAAAACCATGTTATTGGAAGTGGTTGCAATCTGGATTCAGCCAGATTCCGTTACCTGATGGGGGAAAGACTGGGAGTTCACCCATTAAGCTGTCATGGGTGGGTCCTTGGGGAACATGGAGATTCTAGTGTGCCTGTATGGAGTGGAATGAATGTTGTTGGTGTCTCCCTGAAAACTCTGCACCCAGATTTAGGGACTGATAAAGATAAGGAACAGTGGAAAGAGGTTCACAAGCAGGTGGTTGAGAGTGCTTATGAGGTGATCAAACTCAAAGGCTACACATCCTGGGCCATTGGATTCTCTGTAGCAGATTTGGCAGAGAGTATAATGAAGAATCTTAGGCGAGTGCACCCAGTTTCCACCATGATTAAGGGTCTCTATGGAATAAAGGATGATGTCTTCCTTAGTGTTCCCTGCATTTTGGGACAGAATGGAATCTCAGACCTTGTGAAGGTGACTCTGACTCCTGAGGAAGAGGCCCGTTTGAAGAAGAGTGCAGATACACTTTGGGGGATCCAAAAAGAGCTGCAATTTTTAAGTCTTCTGATGTCATAGCATTTCACTGTCTAGGCTACAACAGGATTCTAGTTGGAGGTTGTGCTTGTTGTCCTTTTTATCTGATCTGTGATTAAAGCAGTAATATTTTAAGATGGACTGGGAAAAGCATTAACTCCTGAAGTTAGAAATAGGAATGGTTTGTGAAATCCACAGCTATATCCTGATGCTAGATGGTATTAATCTTGCATAGTCCTAAACTGGTTAGTGTGAAATAGTTCTGACGCACCACTGCCAATTCTGTACATGCTGCATTTGTCCCTTCAGCCAGGTGGATGTTTACTGTGTGTTATATAATTTCCTGGCTCCTTCACTGAACATGCCTAGTCCAACATTTTTTCCCAGTCAGTCACATCCTGGGATCCAGTGTGTAAATCCAATATCGTATGTCTTGTGCATAATTGTTCCAAAGGATCTTATTTTGTGAACTATATATATCAGTAGTGTACATTACCATATAACATAAAAAGATCTACATATAAACAATACAACCAACTATCCAAGTGTTATACCAACTAAAACCCCCAATAAACCTTGAACAGTGAAAAAAAAAAAAAAAAAAAAGACACCAGGATTAGAAGAACCCGGAGAAACTGCCGGAGAGCTTGAGCCAAATCGACGGACTGTTGGAGCGTCTGAGAGTGAAGCTCCGCGAACTCCTGGAAGTGGAACAGCAAAGCAGCCATCAGAGATGGACAAGAAAAATGAACAAAGAAAATTAGCAGAAATCAAAGGCAAACGCTAAAGCTGCGCAAAACCGTTAATTTGCAACATAGAAATGGAATTGATGAAGGAGTCTAGGAAATGAATGAGAGAAGAGGAAAAACAGTAGTGACCATGGTAAGGTCCTGACGATTCTGGTCCACTGGATCCCACCATCCCTAGCACAGGAAATCTCATCACAGCATTTCCTGTTTGTTCCGAAATGAAAAATCGTGATTTTCATCCCAAGGGCAAATACAAAGTAATTTATTATTATTTTTTATCTAAACTGTGGGGGTTTAGTTTACTTATTCTAAGTTCTCATAATTTTGAAAATGCAGTTGACAACTTGTATGGCTGTATTAGGTTTTACTTAGTAGTAATATGTATATAAGATCAAAGATCTGTTCAAAATAGATATTTTTCATCGATAATTTGGTGCTTTCAAATATCCAGAAGCCTTGTTTTAATCAGATGAAGTCTGAGGATAGTTTACTAATTTCATTTTTTGTATGATGTGTTCACAGTTTTCTAATTTAACCTAATATTGATTGATGAGAGGTAAACAAATCAATATATTTTTTCAAATCTCATAGGTGTATTATGTTGTTGAAGATGTTTTTAGTTAAAATTCTGTATTTCAATATTGGAATTTAGGTCTAGTCAAATTTGCTCAACCCGTTCATCAGTGTCAGTTGCCAGATTTCAATTCATTTATAGTGTGCCTGTACTTTTCTTTCTATAATCTCTGAATTAATTTTATTACTTATTTAAATGTTATATAATATAGCTCACATATTTAAAACAAAACCACCAGGTAAAATGAGTTCCAGCTTATTATAAAGAAGCTGTTATCAAATTAGTGTTACCTATATAGATGGATGCAGCTCAACAAAATTTTACACAAAAAAATTTGGATTGAACTACATGTGTTGCCATGAATTAGCCTCTAATTCATTATGAATAAAGACAAATTTCAACACATTTGTTCATTTGCTTTCATTATGTCTAAGGGTAGTATGTCAAGAATTCTCATGCTACTGTCTGAAAAACACATTCTACTGTTACCTAAGAAATAA